CTGTTGGATATTTGGACAAACAGCCATATTGATTTTTGGCTTATTTTTCGAAAGTTTTTGGTGATTGGTACAGATTTTCACAAATCTGAAATATTTTGTGAGACAAGTTTCAGTTGACTAACAGATGGTGGCTTACTAGAGCCAAACCGGTGCGCTGATTTCCTATCCGGAAAATAAATCTTTATTGAACGACTGTAACTTGACTGCGGTAGTCCAGCTGTAGTGTTTGCGCCCCTACTTCCTTGGTATGAGATCGATTTCCCCCACAAATGCAGAAACTGTATGCTCATTGTGATTCCTACAACTACAAGTTCAAGCATACCTTGAACCAGTTAGAGGAACATATGATCAATTGCTCACAATCTTAGGTATGATGCAGCACAACTAACTTTTGAACTTTTAGCTTAGTTGATGCTATACATTTGACCAAAACAGATAAATTAAAGCGATTATTTTTTTGGTTCTTGTCACTGAATTTCGTTGCTAACACACGTTAATAGTCTGCCCACCGGCACACTATTTCGAAAACGTCTTCAGTTTTTTGAAGACGATGTATATTGTCTGATATAACACTATACAAACACGAAATAATTCAGTGTCAAAAACAAAGCTGTTCAGACTCGACTGGTTTTGAATCAAATTTTGGGAGCATTTTTTTAAAGAGCTCATTCCATCAAGTTCCCTGCTGTGATTCAGAATAGTTGAAATTTATCGGGATTCGCACTTATTCAAAATAATTCACGCACTTGTAATAGTTCAGGTAAAAAATTACTGGGTTAACATTTTGGTTTAAAGAAAACAATCTTGCAAAATTTCGACTCTTTAAATTAAACAACATTAAACAGTATAGGTATGATCAACCACCCCCTTATTTTCTGCCTCGTTTTTTTCCCTGTTTAATTTATCATTTTAATTTTTAAACATGAAGTCCTAATGCGATGTACTCGCATTGTATTCCGGCAATCACTCAAACTAATTCAGGATGAAGAGTTATGGGGAAGTTGGTCACGGAAGAACGTTCATCAGGAAATCCGGACAACTCAAACATGCCTGTCTTATTTTGTGTTATCATTTATGTGGATACTCAGTACCCTTTGAACTTTGTTGTTAAACTGTGTCATTTCGCTAGAGTTCACAGTGCGCTATTCCGGTTTGATCATCAAGTTATATTCAATCATAGCAGGATGAACGAGTCATGAATATAGAGGGCGCAAATACAAACGGACCGGATCGTGATGATGCACACAGTTTTATTCAAGTTCAAATTGCTTTATCTAGTTTGATTCATTTGTAGCAATCATGTACAGCGTTGATGTCTGTGCACATTATTCGTCCTTTCTGTTCCCTGTCAAGGGCGGATCCAGAACACAATTTTTTGGGGTAGCCCCCCCCCCCAAAAAAAAAATTGGTCCCCGTAAAGTGGGTCCAAAAAATTACGGCGTGGGGTTCAGGGCCCGCTTAATCATGGGCCCCGAATTTGTTGTAATTCTTAATGCTCTGTGGCGATCTGAGGAAATTTCTGACCACTTTAACCATTTTTTTGTTTCGAAAAGATGGTAGTGTACCCAGTGCCTGCCTTTATTGCGACGTCACTTAAAAACAAAATTGGGTTTTTTTGGGCGGGGCGGGGGGGGGGGGGGCATGGTTCCCTCCCCCCCCCCCCCGGATCCGCCTTGTCCGCTGTTCGTCTTAAAATATGAAGCACAAGCTCTGTTTGCATGCAGGGTTCCACTCAGCATGCCACTTAGATTTCGTTGAATATTTTCTCGAAATATGGCGATAGTAGTATTTGCTGAATACTTTGAAAGTGTTTGGTCAGTTAGTACACAAATAATAATAAAAAAAATATGGGACATTATTCGGTTAACAAACAAATGGGGGATGATGCTAGTAGTCCAACCGGTGCGCTGATTTCCAATCCGGAACATAATTATTTGTGTAACGACCGTACCTTGACTGCGGTGCCCACCTGATTTCCGCCGCTACTTCCTTGGTATGAGATCGATTGTCCTTGATAATGCAGAAAATGTATGTTCATTGTGATGCCTACAATTTCAAATGCAAGCAATTTAAAAAAGAAACATAGGATTATTTGCTTTTGAAATTTTTTTTCGTGAGAAGCAACAAAATGGCTTTAAAAACTTAAGAAGGTCGCAACCAAACTGTTGAAGTTTCAGCTCAGTGGATACTATCATTGAGAAAAAGCAGAGAAAACGTATGCACTATTTTGTTGGATCTCGTAACTTGATTCCGTTGCCAACACCTTAACAATTCTTTTGTAATTTTAAAAACACCTTCAAAGTTTTCAAACGATTATAACAGGCAAAATACTTTCACCGGGTATTTGATACCAGTCTTATCTTCACTCTCAGCATTGCAAGGTTTCTGTCATTAAATGTACTTTTCCGGGCAATTGCAAATGATCCTACGTGGCCTTAAATTCTTTTTGCATACAGATTTCTCTGAGAAAATCTGGGCATTTGTTTTGGTAGTTACTGCGTTTGATTCGAAAGTATTAAATCCTTCAAAGAAGACATGAATATTGTTGCTCGTGCGTGGGTCTGTTCAGGGCCGTTGCATGCAGGACGCATTCCGCTTTAAAAATATATATATATATATAATCAGTCCTGATCACATTTCGCCCGACAGAGATTTTGATCTGGGGGTGTTTTACTTGTGAAATTCAGCTATGCCTCCCCCAACAGCCCCCAAGATATCTCCCAGCGGATTTTCAATGACTCATTTTCGTTGGTATTATTTCCAGCTCGCAATCTGCTGAGTGTTGAGGATTCCCTTCGTGATAGAATTCAAGAACGTTACATCGAGGTGAGTGTCTGTTATTTGACACTTTCCTCACTCAATCATCAGAACAGAGCAGTGATTTTGGTGGGAGACTGTATTTTTTTCTCTATATTTATACACCTTTTGGTCAAAACTTTTACTGAAAACATCGCTCGAGTGATATTCCCTCCCTATAACACCCACCGTAGAACTGTGCCAGACATTTTGGCCTGCAGTCTTTGCAAATTCCTCGTTAAACTCATCAGGGTGCCTCGAACTTATAGCGGAAACACGCTGAAATTTCCTTCACAGTTTTTTTTTATGCAGGTACATCAGTTGGCAAAAAAAGAGAACTAAGATGAAAATAAATATTGATCACACCAATACTTAGTTGCTGTGTAATCAGATTCTTTGGAATTTGTCTTCTTTTATTTATTTTTTAAATAGGAATTGTGTTCGCAACCGTTGTCCTAATTTTTTCTTGATCGTTCATCACTTTGTAATTCGTTTGTGACTGTTTATCAACTTCGGGAATCATAACATATAGGTTTTCCCGTCCAATTTCTCAACTTGTTCGTCCAATCTTAGAGACTGTTCATTACATTGAAAAAAGGTCGCATTTAGCGCATTCGATTTTTTAAAAATATTTTACACACACCAAAGCGTGAAGGCAACTTTTCGTGCAAAAGAAAATCCATTTCTTTTGTTGGTTTTCGATTTTGCACTGAGTGTCGGCGAATTTGTAAAAGGAAGTATTCATTTTCAACGAAGGTTCAATGGAATAAGGAGTCTATTTAATATGCAATTCGCAAATCGCCAATCGTATTGGCCACAAAAAAATCAAATTGATATGATTTTTTTTTTACTTCCAAAGAGGGATTACAACAATTAACAAACTGGTGACTTAATTGTCCTTACATAAAAATCTGTATTTTGACATAGTATTATATCGGCGAGTGTTCTAAATGTATTTCCTTCTATCACTTTGACACTTTACATTGATACAGTTCTGTTCTGCTTTTTTCATATTCCCTTCCCAGGCATTCCAATCTTTGAAATAGCTGTAGATTCCTTAATCCAAACTTTTCAAAAGCCATGTCATTTTATACTCTGTTGTATCACTATAACACAATATCTTGCTAATGCAACTTCCAAATATCATTGAACTGTGTTGCTTTTGTAAACGTCCGCATCAAAGTGAATTCCCGAGCGGGACTGAACCACAATGCACAAGAAATTCAATGCACAAGTCACGTAATTTGCTGCTTACTTTTCACGCGTGAATGAAGAATACCCTAAAAAATGTTAAGCTTGCGCTAAATTCAACCGGGTGTGAAAAGGTCTGCATGTTTTATGCGAATTTGAATGCAAATGTTTTATTATTGAATTAAGCAAAGTGTGAAAATGGGCGGGAAACCCTAAAATATTTCATATTGAATGAAGAATTCCATTGCTGCTTTAAAACTCATAGCGAACTGGAGTTAAAAGTCAATTTGCCTGGACAAGTGCAACAAAAGCTTAGAATGCCAACGAACTTTTGACCGAGTTCCTATGGTGTCTCAAAAATAGATACATGCCTTTAAAATGATTGGAAAAAAAAGTTTCAATAATAACGTTTAAACAAATTGAAAGCTAATTTCAAGAATCAGTCAATTCGAGAAAAATTGAACAATGCGACATTAAACAGGTTGTTTTTCTTGACGAATTCGGCCGAGAAAACTTATTATTCTAATTACTTGACCGTAATAACTTGGTGAGAAATTTTTCCTGTTTTGGGGTGGCAATGTATCCAATTGAGAAAAAAAATCTCACTAATTTATCTTAATTGATAATGAAATAGTATTCCTGACTAAAGTGTAAACTTAACCAGTTTTCGTTTGTATGTTTTTTCAGCCTACACTGAATTCCTTGTGATCTCTTCTTGGACCTGATCTTCAAGAACGAACCATCGAGGTGGGTGTGGTGAGGTTTAATTAATGATTCTATCAGGACCGGGGAAGGTGCAAGATGTGCTCCGCCCCCCCCCCCCCCCCTCCCCTCCTAACAAAGAAAACATTCTTCGAACAATGATTCCTCCAATCTAATTTTTTTGGGTTTTTTTCCTTCAAATCTGACGGCGGATTGTCATGACTTTTAGATTAGTTCTCCTGTTTATCAAACCTCAATATTTTTCTCCTCTTCCCGTTTTTAAAAACTATTTTATTGAAAAAAAATCTCACCTGATTTGTTTCAGTTTAATCATTGTTATTCTGTACAGAATGAAGATCTTCGTGGCAACCGTTCTTTCAATCGCCCTCCTTCTGGGTAACTCCGTCAACCTCCGAGCTTCCGTTACTGGGCCGGTTGCCTCGGACGGTGATGGTCCTGCAACTCAGGCATGTCCGATGTGCTGCCAGGGGTCGGCTGCAATTCCCGGCATACCAGGTTTGCCTGGGTCCTTAGGTCAACCAGGGTCAAAGGGCGAGCCAGGTCAAAAGGGTGATATTGGATCGATTGGACCTATGGGTGAGCGTGGAGCAGCTGGGCCTCAAGGGGACGAAGGCATAGGCCAGCCCGGAAAAATTGGTCCAAGAGGAGTCCCAGGTGTTGTAGGGCCAACGGGGGAAACTGGTGTCAAAGGTCAAAAGGGTGAGCCAGGGGAGGCACCAGACGACTCCAACCAGCGGGTAGCATTCACCGTGGTGAGGACGAGCAGCTCGGATACGCTGAGCAACGACCGTTTGCTCTTCCAGGCGACCGAGACGCTTCTGCCGGGTACCAGCTTCGATCTCGAGACCGGCACGTTCACGTGTGGTGTGCCGGGCACCTACGTGTTCATGTTTTCTGTGTGCAAATATCCTTCCAGCAGCGAGCTGTACGTTCAGCTCCGGAAGAACGGCGACGTGGTTGTCTCTGGCCGTAGCAATGATTCAAGTCACTATGAGCAGGTGTCTGGGAGCGCGGTGGTGGTTCTGCAGCGTGGAGATACGATGTATCTCACAATGTCCGGTAGGGCGCATAGTAATTCCTGGCACTACACCTCATTCAGTGGCTTCCTCCTTTACCCCGAATAAACACAATCCAACACATAAAGATACACAAGCATTGTGTTGCTGATTTTTTTTAATCGCTTTCCATTTTGCCGAAACATTAACTAATGAATTAAAACAAATAATGTTCAATGACAATGTCACAAAATATTATTATTAATGTTTTTGCATTGCGCATGCTCTGATCTATATACTACAATGGATTTGCCAATTTTTTTTGACTTTTTGCAAAACAAAATATTTAGCTTTATATGCATGAGTATTGGGATATAGTGAAAAGTATGCGTTAAGTTTTTTGACGATTTTTTTTGGACCCATTGTAGGTCTATCGAGAAGTATTTTGATGGAATATTTTTTCAAAGCAAGCTGGGTCATTATTTTTGTAGAAACAAAAGATTTGCAATATAAAAGCAGTGCCACCATATGTATCCAGAAATGTTAACAACTAAAAAAAAATGTGTTTATGGTGTTATCTCGACCAACCTGGATTTTTTAGGCCATGTTTCTGACCGCCATTTTTTTTATTGCCACATTTGGTCAACATATAAAATAACGTGGTTTTTTTTTTCCCGAAAATAAATGCAACTTCTTTGTAGTATTGGGTATTTAAAACAGATTAATTAAACACAATAACTGTATCCTAATTGAAGCAAACAAAGTATAAAAGACATACAGACAAACAAAATATTTTGCTACCTACCTGGATAATTTTAGGGCGTTTACTATAACATGTTATTTTCTTCGCCATATGTTCCCTGTATGCCCAGCACAGATAATGTCAATTAAATCAATCCCATGCATGTATCAATTTTTATTTCATGTCACAAAAAAAGTCTCGAGTGATTGAATCTGATTTTCTTATAGACTTTAAGCTTGGCATTTGGATTAACAATTGTTTGAAATATTCTAATGCTATTCACAGCAATTAGAACACACTGGATTTTATGAAATGATTGCATTATTTTAAACGTTACAATATGTGAGAATTATGTAAAAGTAGTACAATTGACTGGCTATGAAAACAGTATGCATAAAACCTCATTCTGAGGATTACCAAAAGCACCACCATTGTTGATAAATACTCTCTTTTTTTCGATTGGCTTCGTTATGAAAAAAACAACATGATTTTAATTAATTTCAGTTGAAACAGAAACGTGCCCACAGTAATGAAAAATGTGGGATTGGCTGTTGTTTTTAAAGCCCGTAAAAATGCGACAAGTGTTTCTTGATTAACAGACTCCAAATTATTTGAAGACTTTCATTGTTCTTAATCAGTATTACTTGATTGCATTCAAGAAACTCACTTTGAAAACATCAGTGAAAGTGTGAGCCCGTTAGATGGTAAAGAAACAATCTTAACGAAATCAATCAAAACAAAGCACAAATTCCATTCAAGTGAGGAGGGTCTTTCAACTGGTTGGAATTGTCCTTTGTCACTTTATCATTTCAAGTGAATTTCTTTGTATTGACTTTTATTTGGATGCCATATTTGGCATCCCTGCTGACAGCATATCCTTGGATAATGTCTCCAGCCAGCACATGTACATGTAAGCTGAACAAGTACGCTTCCTGGGAATAGGTAGACTCCTGCAAGAAATCAAAGAAAAGGTTATAATGGACCCTTCCTGCATGTCAATCAACAGTGCACATTGGCCAATCAGATCACCACTTTTGATCAGGTGACCACAGTAGCTCAGTCAGACTGGGTCACAAGCACTGTTAGATCTATTGCTCACCCCGCCCCCATTTTTTGCACCAGCGGTTAACACCCCCCCCCCCCCCCCCCCCCAGTATTCTGTAAAGAGTGCCCTTTTTACACAAGTAACTTTTAGTTTTTACACAAGTGTCCTTAGTTTTGTTTAAAAAGTTTCTTGTTTCGCCAGCGGCTTTTAAAGAATTTTTGGTATTTCGTGTAAACGTCAGCAATTGTGCTGGCATGAAAAGAGCCACCCATTGACCTACCGCCGTTTGCGAGTTAACCACGCCCCTTAGACAACTCTATAAGCCTTTTCGCTGATACCGCCATCTTTGAATAATTTTTTTTTTCGGGGGGGGGGGGCATTACAATGAAAATACGTCTCATCATGCAACTGTAGCTGAGAATGATGGGATGTCTTTTCATTGTAATCCCCCCCCCCCCATTTCAAAGATGGCGGTTTCCGCGAAACGGCTCATGGAATTTTGTACGTTAACTTTTGTTTGTCTCAGATTTTGGCGTTCTGCGTCCATTTGTATATCATGTTTAGACAATATTTTACAAGCTGCGTTGACGCAATTCCACCGTGATAGGTTAATTGTCCGATAGTGGCCATTATCGCCGGTTTGTACTTACATGACAATGAGCTGAGCCTCCTGGGAATGTTGGAGAAGCAATTCACGGATCCGCATCTGTCTGTTGGTCTGAAAGAAAAAGAAAGATTTCAGGCGAAAAAATGGAGTGATTTATTGATGTTTAATAAAGTCGAGTTCCATGCACTTGGCAAATCACATGAACTGAGAGTTGTACGGAAAAATGGATTGAAGTGATCAATCTCATTATTGAAAATCACCCACCAGAATGTCAAAGGTTTGCCACAATTAACAGATGTTGCAAGACTGGACTTAAAATCACAAAAACCAGGGACTTAGCGTAAAGTGGACACTGGGAAAGCTTCAAGTGTATTGTCTCCATGCATGGACAAAAGAGGGCGCTTTATAGTCAAACAAGCAGAAGCCGGAATGAGGGACACTTCACTGGTTCACTCATGCTGGTTATCGTGTATTTGGTACCAGCATTTATAAGCCACGATGGCGCCCAAATGGCCCTCGTTTATAGTTTTCTCTGTGGGGGGGGGGGGGGGGGGGGGGGGCTTGAGCGCAAAGAGGAGATTCTACCTTCTCGTTGAGCGTAGTGACTTCCTCCTTGCTGATCTTCCAAGGACACTTCTCCGTGGTCTCCCCTGCTTCCTCATCCAGCATCCAGGGTTTGGACAGCCCTTGAACCGTCTCAGGCTCTCAGTCCTTGGGCTTCTTGTTCAGGTCCGGGATGACCTCCACGTCCGAGCAGTTGATGCGGAACTTGCTGAGCATGTTGGCAATGTTCATCTTCTCCCTGTCCATTTGCTCCTTCTTGCCCGTGGCGGCAAAGACGCGCAGCTTGCATTTCTCCCAGTTGGATTCAAGGAGATGAGGTGAGGGATGAGTAGGGTCAAGCCTGGGGGGGGGGGGG